ATATGCACACCTCCTTGTTCTGATACTACTTTGCTTGCTAGCCCTGCAAGAAGAGATTACAAGCAAAATAATTTCTCTTTTGACTCATCCACTTTAACAGCTAGAATTACTTCAGTAATTGTTCTGCAGTCTTTCACTGGTCATTTCAGATAATATTATTCTTCTCATGAGTTCAGTATTTTGTTCATAGTGTTGATGATTCCTAAGGGGCCAAGTTCCAATGGTTTGCGAGTTAACTTTGCAAAGTTTGGTGACTAAAACATCCAGCTTTTTAAAGTAGGGAGTGATTTATTGAAGGCTTGTGATTTTTATTTAGATTTTGGAACCTTGGATGAGTAAATGCCAGTAGGCATCAATGGGGACTGTCTGAAAATGAAGAGGAAGCTATGTTTCTGAGTGTGTAAAAATAGTGTGTAAAATAGACTGACATCAGTAGTAATGACAAGCTTGGGTCTTCAGAAATAGGAATGAATGGAAATAGGATATCTGTACTTTAATGGATTTAACTAGTTTTGCTATTTTCCAAGCAGTGGTGAGAACAGTCAAGTGAATAAATGTACAGGTCATACTAGCAGACAGCATGTAAGCAGAGAAATGATAAACAGACTTGTAAATACATCATACAATGCAGCAGTGTATGCTGTACGAAAGGAAAACGGAGCTCAGAGTCTTTAGATTTAAACCTGTTGAACAGCTGTCAAATCTGTGATTGTTTTGACAGCAGCATGCCAGTGCTACAGCCCTTGCCTAACTGGATAAGCCAATGCATTTCCCCAGAGAAATCAGTTTATGATGATTTGAAGTATTGGCTATAAAAGCTTACACAACTCATCATTTCACAATCAAGAGCTCCATGAAAGGCTAGTTCCCAACTTATGCTTCAAGTACTTAAAAGTTAGAGTAACACAGACTGATATAGTGAAGATGTAGCATATGCTTTTTATCCAGATTCTTTCAGGAGGCTGTCTGTAAGAACATATGAAATATTTTATGAAGCACCGCTAATGTAGTCTGGAACAGCTGATGATATTACTGCTGTCTGGTTTTGGTTTGCTTGAAGGCCTCAATCTGCAGTTGTTCAGCAGCTGAAAAGCAGCTGAATTCAGGCATACAGGGTGAAAGACAACTGAAATGATTAACTTCTGCAGTCCTCCCAGGACCATTCATAATTCAGAGCCCTGTGAGTAGGACTATAAGGAAATTTATCACCTTGTTACTTTTGGCAAATGCTACTCTGGAAAGGCTAAATACTAAATACTGACTTCCTGAACTTGCCTCTCCCAAACCTTGGATAAGCTCTTTTGCTACGTTCATAATTTAGCAACCTAGTTAAGAGTTAGCATAATTTTCCTCACTAAAGCAGCTCATCAGTCAAGGATTTCTCTGAGGCACATCTGGCCTAAAAAATACACCAAATATGTTCTGCCCAGGTGGAATAAACTTTGAATCTTGATGTCATTTAATTCATTTCCCATCAATTCATATATAAACAATGATTTATATATAATGTAGATTTTTTACCAGCTTTCTCTGGGTAATAATTTGAGAGCGGTTTCTCTTAGCTCTTCTAAGGCTTAGGCAGATTTTCTTTTTTTTTTAATGCTATTTCCATGTGGTTTGACAGGACAGGGTTTGTTTGTTTGTTTGTTTGCTGCTCTTTCTTGACCTTCAGTAAAATTAGATATCTCTAATTAGCTCGACCCAGCAGAAAATGGAAGAGTTCTATCTTCCTTGTGCCTTGCGGTTTATAGTTGATCAGCATCATATTGGTCAGTGTTTATGAAACAAAGCTTCCATGCTTTGATGCCAACAATGCTAGGTCTGCCTGAGAACACTTATGTGGCAATTCCTGGCAGGATGTAAAAATTGTGCCAGATGTGACTTGAAAAATATTTTCCTCTCCATTTGCAGGAAAATACAAACATTTTAATAGTATTTATCATACTGTTGGAAAAATCCCGTATAATCCTGTGTAATCTGACCAGGAAAAAAAAAACAAAATAAAAAAGAACAATTGAAGGTGGGTAAAATGTTACCAAATCTTGCTGTAACAAATATGTAAGTTTAATTACAAAAAATGTAATGTAATTACCAGTTAACTCTAAACTTTGGATGTCTCACCATCCATTTTACACTGAAATCAGTATGTCATTAGCATGTGACTGGGAAGAATGTGTTGCTGTTAATTGCTTCTTACTTGTTCTATAATGCTTATACCCCTAAGTAAAGTTGAATCTTAAATGGTTATTCCTTTGTGTGACTTCAAATAAGAGAAAATATTCATCTCATTTATGTGTCAAGTGTGGTTGTCGTACCATGTCTATATGTATTTGAATTATCATGTTTGATGTATGGAAAAGTGCTTACCTTATGGCAGCTCTTGGTCTTATCTAGCCTTTGAGCCAATTTAAATCACAAAATTGGAATAAAGCAAAACATGGAAAACTACTTATAGGAGCTGGCAAATTGAATGGACCCAGAGATCCTTCTGATGAGTGCCAGAGTTGGTGTAATTATGGGACCTTAGAACTGGCAATGAGGGCACAGAGAGAAGAGAATTGTAATGTTGGTATATGGATAAGATCTCACCATTTCAGTAGCAGTGAGATGCTGGATGGGTGCCGCTAGTCATTGAACTATACTCCAAATGTGAGCATGATTTCAGTGAGGTGTAAAAGAGAATTTCATTTCCCAGTGAATGGCCTGTTAATTTAGTTAAGTACCATGGTAGCTTGTAGTCTAGGGGGAAGAGGATAAACCATAGAATCAAAATATGCTCCTGTCTTGAAATGTTGACGGATTCTGTTTTGTCTCTCTTGTATTTTTTTCTCCTTACTGTGGCTCATCCGTTATACTGTTGCTATAGTCTGCTTTGTGACTGACAGAGGCAGACCATGAAAATGCTATAAGCAGCTAACAATCACAAGACTGGACTTCAGCAACAGATGGATGCAAGCTTGGGATTATACTTAGCTATAATTATAGTGCAGTTGGCAATTCAGGGTGGGCAAACCTGATCCATCTTTAATTAGCTAATCCTAATGAAAACACTCTAGTCACTGGAAAAGAACATACTTGTTACAAGTAATTCACCTTTTGCCATCATGGTCAGACTGTTTCCACTGTGCCAGCAGTGCGTACTTATACACATTGCTCTGTAGGCACACCCGCCCTATGATTACAAATTCCGTTGTCATTTTGCAAAGGTGAGGTAATGCGGTAACCTTCATCAGTTAGCAAAATGTAAACCTTTTAGAAAGCTCGTTGTGTACTGGTAAGAATTCATTGCACAGCAAGAATGTGACACCTAGTGGATACACAGCATTTGAGAAATGCGGCTGGAATACTGACATTAAATGACCCTACCAAATGGAACAACAACTTTGCTGTAAGAAACAACAATGATTTTAAATGACTCTATGCATAGGGACAAAATAATTTGATAATGGAATGTTACTCTGGAAGCTTGAATGTGAAGAAGGCGTCAGGGCAGATGTCAGGCCAAGAAAGCCATACAGCTCCTAAAAAACAGAGACCAAATCCCACAGAGACATTGGAAGATTCTGATGTGATGCACTGGAATCAGATTTCAAACAAAACTCAAGTATAAAGTGAGTCTAAAAATCCCCTTTGTTAAATGTACGTCCCTGTTTTTTCCACACTATCTTTGCAGGAGGTGAGTTTTCACAGTCAGAGACACTGAACAGCGAATAAACTGTACAGTTAGGCCACTGGGAGCCAGACTAGACTGAGATAGTTTGAAAAGTCCAGTACATCCTGCCTGAACTATAGGTTTTATCTGTTACTGCCCAGTGCAGCATGTAGTACCTGAATTTCAAGTATTCACAGATTCGTGGTTGCCCAGATGCCCTACTTCCTTACTGTTTCAAGGCTATAATAGAAAAATTCAGTACCAGAAACTGACATTTTGTATAATCCCTATTCTCCTCTCTAAAATTTAAACATTTTAAATGCAAATACATTTCCAAATATCTGAAAAATGCATGCTGAATAACAGTCAGATGCTAGAGCAAGGATAAAGCTTACCCCTTGGCAGCTGTTACATGTTGTTGGTCTGTACATCGGTTCTGAATAAACTCTGAACCTGGGGGCTTTGACCTGCAGTCTCCTTCTCGTGGATAGGTACAAATGGAGTCAGCATGTGGGCAGCTGGTTTGTACTGCTCTCATTTTACCTGATAAACCATTATGAAGCTGCGAGGGAATCCTCTTGTGCAGTTTCTTAGTGCTTCTCTGCTACAGATGGACACATTGAAAAGGAATTATCAGCACAACTTTAAGTTGCACCAGCAGAGGGTCAGGTTGGATATGAGGAAGAATTTCTTCTGAGAAAGAGCAGTGATGCAGTGGCACAGGCTGCCCAGGGAGGTGGTGCAGTCACCGTCCCTGGAGGTGTTGAAGACCCGTGTGGATGTGGCACTGAGGGACGTGCTCAGTGGGCTGACAGACTAGGTGATGCTGGAGGTCTTTTTCAACCTTGATGATTCTGTAGTTCTATATCAGGCCGAAGCGCAGGATTTTTAAGTTCGATCTCCAGATATAAGCCTTGGCCTGAGAGGAGACAACATGGGTACGAAGGGCGCGCAAGACAGAAGGCTGAAGCGAGAGTTCACGCGGACAGAGCGGGCAGCACCGCCTCCGCCAATGGGAGGAGGAGGGCCGGCCCAGGCGCGGAGCCCGCCTTCCGGAGCCCGCCCCACCCTGCGGATGTGGCGCCGCGAGCCGGCGGTGAGTGGGAATCGGGTGGTGGGCCGTGCTGCCGGCGCCGCCGCTACCGCCGCCGTCGCGGGGGAGGAGCCTGCCCCCGTCCGCCCAACCCGTGAGGCTCTCGGGGCGGGGAGAGTAACGGGCTGGGGGTCCGGGCGGGGCTGGGGGCGGCTGCTTCTTGGCTGCTGCGCGGGAGAGGTCGCGTCTGTCAGCGCGCTGCGGCCGTGCGGCTCCTGGAAAGGAGAGGGCTGCTGAGGGAAGCGGGCGGGCCGGCCTGCTGGGCCGCCATCACACGGCGGCAGCACGGTGACCCGGTGGCCCGGTGGGCTGGGCAGAACTCGTGTCCCGCTAGCCAGGCTTACCGCTCTGTGTGAGTCCCGCTGTGCGAAAGTGGGAGAGTAGGGGTCCGACCGAGTCTGTGCGAGGCTGTGTGCACTGACTACTTCGTTATGTCCCGCTGGGTCGTTATGTCGGTGCTGGGTCTTGCATGTGCCGAATCAAACCGGGTTTGTGGTATCGACCTCGCAAGCACAGGTTTAAAGAGGGCTTCAGTGCACCTCTGTGTTTCAGAAGCAATCAGGCTGTGACAGCTAACAGTGGTCCTGCTCGCGCACTGCACTGACCGCGGGGATTGCGGATAAGCGGTAGGAGCGAGTTTCCAGAAGCGCGTTGTGAGTGCAGAGGCCGTGCTCAGGCTGGAAGGGATGGCTGGAAGTTGGCTGGTGCGGGCCCCGCTGCAGCTGGAACACCCAGCAGTGCTCCTCTGACGGGATGCGTGCAGTGTTCACCGAGTACCGGTGCCTCTCAGTGTTGAAGCATGCACAGTGTGGCAGTTACTGTCTTTATGTATAAACGTACATAAAACAACAATGGAAAGTGAAGCAGTAAGGTGGAATGACTTGTCAGGGTGACGTAGTGAATCGCTGGCACCACGACTGCAATGCCTTATGACACTGATTGCACTTTGTCTGACTCATTCTGCTTGTACAGATTTGCATCAGAAATCTTTTAAAAGTATTTTGTTAGTCTAATGCATTTTCTTTAAATGTTTGCATGCTCAGGCTGAGAGCTGTAAATCCGAATCACGTAATTATCACTGTAGATTCGTTTCTATAAAGAACTGAAGGCATAGTGTCGACTGAACAGTTCAGTTTGGTGATTAATATTATACTTGAATAGTCTGTGCTGCTGCTTAGCACTTTATGACCGAACTTTGTCACAGAATGCTTGGCATATGACTTTCAGCAAATCTTTTAATTGCTGCGAGCATAATTTGCTTGTCTGTATGAGAAGTGCCCTGCTCACCTACCAGAGGTGCTTTAAGTTTCTTTGGAATACTTGGTTAAAGCTTCACAAGATTAGCTGAGAAAGTACCTCCATAAATGTATAATGTGTTTGCATTCTTACCAGGAAAAGCTTATTTACTTTAGATAGCTGTTTGACTAATGTTCTCTTCTGTCAGTGTTTTCATTTGCTGATGATTATTATGCTGTAGGAAGTTGCAAGCTGGAGCTTTTATGCTAGTTCTTCCTTATTACTTTGTTTTTATGTATTTGTTTTCTTTCTCAAAAAACAGTTCTTTGCTATACATAGCAAAAACAGTTTCCAAACTTGGATAGTGAGATGTACATGGCCCAAAAGATTGAAAGTATCTTGCTAAGTGACGGTCAGGGGTTATTCAAATGCTTTGTAGTACTCTCTTCAGTTGGTCCACTTAAATGGTCATCTGCCACTGTGCTAAGACAGACACGTGTAACTCACTGTAGTAAAATATTACATTCTTTACATTCATATCTTTTATCTATATATAAATATAGATATATGCTGATATACTGTCATTTTTGTTTTGTTTATATACTTAACAGGTTCTTAAAAGATGAAGGAAACCTGGTCTTTCTTGGATACTTTTGAGCCTAACTTCAGGCCTCTGGTAGTAATTGAGCTTGCAAAAGGCACAAAAAAGGAAACCATAGAATGGTTCACTAAAAGAATAGTGGACAAAAAAGCCAATGGAGGTGAGTGTAACAGGATCTTCTGTAAAACTTTGTGATAGATTGGCTGTCATAATATGAAGACAGACAAAAAAATAGTTCTCATGTGATTCATTCACGTAATTACTGTTTAGCTAGTCCCATTCCATTCTTCAGTTTTGAAGTTGCTTGGTGTCATTTGAGAGTAGTGACGTAAGGTCATGTGCCTGCTGAAGTTTAGAATCCTTCCATCTTAGTTGTGAAAGAGGAGTAAACTCATGCAACTTAGATTTTTAGTAACTTAGTTACTTCCTGTGTTCATCTTCTGGAGTGTGTTTCTCATGTTGACTAAGAGAAAGTTGTAAATCTTATCAAATAATTACCAAAATGAAGGTGCGGTGCATCTATTATTCTGCCTTCAAGCCTTGGCTTCATGTTGTAGAATAAAACTGAGTTAGCAGGAAGCAAATTAATCTTGATAAATTCAAGTTGGCTTTTAATTATCTTTTTTCTACCTTGTATGTTTTCACACAGAGAATATTTCATTTCTTGGTGTTCCAATATGCTTCCAAGAATTGAAGTCAGTTTAACTTTGCTTTGTAAATCTTTAGAATTTTTTCTTTTCTCTTGGAAAGGCACTGTTTATGATTGTTGTATCTGACATCTGATGGTCAGTAAGCTTTCTGCAGATTTTGGATCTGTGACTACAGACTTGCTTGGAGGCCTATTTCAGACACCTAGTATTCTTAAAACTAATGGGACTGCAGAAGCAATGATTGCTGATGTGATGTGAGCATTACAGGAGTAAATCCAGACTGTCCTCATTCTTACAATTAATTTTCAGTGAACGCTTCCACAGAAGCAATACTACAGCAGAGGGTAACCCTGCAAAATTCTGAGCACCATATGCTGTTGAAACCTTAATTCTTCATCGCTGTAAGGATACAGCTTCAGTGCTCCTGATGACTAGGGCCAGTATGATAGGTGTATGATACAGTTTTCTTTAGGTATAATTTTTATGCATTCTGTTCCTATTTTTCTTGTATTACTTCAAAGGTGCACAACTACTGATTAAACCGTTGGTTACAGAAGATGGAGATGAAAATATTTATCTAATTGGAGCTTCCTATTTAAGGCTGTTGCTGGGAGCTGAAACTGTGGGTTTGGTGAAGGAGTGTAATGATAATTCAATGAGAAGTTTCACATACAGCAGTAGAAAAACTTTCAAAGACTTTGCAGGTGAGTGTTATTAAACTTCTATCATTACAAAGTTATGAGTACATTTATAATCAGTTTCACTATTAAATCTTTCATGTTTATCCCTTGGAGCGGTGTTATGATAGGATTGTTAACATAGCTCTTGAAAAACTGGGATTTATTTTGAAAAAGTTTTATACTATATTACCTTATTTTTGTATTCTCATCACAATTAGTTGTCTCAAATAGTTTATCGTTATGTTCTATAAACAGTAAAGAAAATATGCTGTGATAATTGATGTGAAATGCTTCCCGAAAAGCAGCAAGCATTTTTCAAGGCCATGCTGGATGCAGCTTTGAGCAGCCTGGTCTAGAGGGAAGTGTCCTTGCCTATAGCAGGGGGGCTGGAACTACATGGTCTTAAAGGTCCCTTCCAACCCAAACCATTCTATGATTCTATGGTTTTATTCATTTTTAGTTTTCTGAAAAATACTTTGGGAACTGTGTAGCAGAAATGAATATAGAGATTCTGAGCTTGGCAAATAGTGGAAACCTAACTGAGAGTCTTTCAGCAAGTCAACAGTGTCTAGTATTTGCTGGTACACTATCCCAGTCTTCAACAGTTCGTAATTCTTTGTGTTTGAATTCATTCTTTTAATTCACTTAAGTAGTCAAAAATGCAGTAGCAAATGTGTGCTAGTTATAGAAAGCTTCTTCCTATGATGTTCATTTTAATAAGTGGAGGTTTTGCTAAAAGGTGTTTGTTGGACTGGTCTTTTTTGGTGATTTTTTGCTGCCTCGGTTGTCTTATTATGCTGCACAATTTCTTACTACCTTCTTTTTTTATTTAGATGATAATCACAATTTCCTTACAATGTCAGAATGTCAGTATATCATCAAACATGAGCTTGAAAACTTGAGAGCTAGGGATGAAAAAATGATCCCTGGATATCCACAGGCGAAGCTATATCCAGGAAAATCAATTGGTAAGCAAGGTAGTTTGTTGTCTGTGTCTCAGCATCTTGACTTAGGACAGTCTTCATGGTGGGGAAAAAAACCTTAATTTTCCTGCAATTAAGATAAACTCTTGAGATGTAAATCACACTACTAATTTATCTTGTTTTCTCAGATTTTCATGATGATGAAACAAAGGGCAATGAATGTAAAGTGTAACAAAGGAAATTCCAAGTACATATTAAGAAAATGTTCTTTACAGTGAGAAAAATCAAGTATTGGAACAGAATCTTAGTTTGTGGGAATTCTGCCCTGGAAGACGTTTAGATCTTAGTGACCTTGGACAAAACCCTGCACAGCTTGAATTAAGCTGGACCTCCTTTGAGCAGGAGGTTGGACCAGATGAATTCCATAGGATCATTGCATCCTGAGCCTTCCTGTGAGACTGAAATTCTTGCTTTACATTCTTTTTAGTTGAATAAATTTTCAAGTAAGTTGATGTTATCTATTATTTTTAGTTGGTACCCAAATAATTTGTGCTTTAAAAAAAAAAAAAAAAGCAAATGCCCAAACCTACCGCCAAACTGTTTTTTTTTTTTTTTAACAAAATATACAGGGGAATGCCACAGGAAGTCATTGAGTTAAATGTGCTCCTGTTCATGAATAAATATTTTATTGATAGTAAGTTTACTTGCTTCTTTTTGGGGTGAAGAATGTTGGTAGAATGACATATGTTTATTGTTTCAAGAGTGGATTTATGACCTGCGAGTGTTGGATAGAGCATGCCCCGAGCACTATCTTTATGGTAGCTTCAACTAGTGTATTGATAGAGATGCTACGGTTTTTTAGGAGCCAGTTTCTCTTCTAGAATCCCATTATCATTTTAATAACTGTGTTTTTATCCGTAACTGTTTGTCACCTAAGAAAATTCAAGGGAAATTTAGGATTGGTAAATACATAATGTAACCCATTTGCTGATATCAACTTTCTTGTATTTGGCAAGAGTATTAGTACTTCTTTTTCCTTCTAGTGAGAAGATTATTGACCAATGGCATTCTAGTTCAGATTTTCCCACTCCATGACAGAGAAGAATTGAAAAAGCTCCGACACACCTGGTATGGCCGAGTCAGAATTGGCTATCAACCTTTAGGTATGTGAACACTTGCTCTGCTACGCATAAAGTGCAGGGTTTCTTCTGGAGGAATTTTCTCTTCAGTTGGTGTGAGAAGACCAAAGGTCCTTCCCAACTACTACTCCATCGTTTAGTCTCTATAAAAGTGATTCTCCTGTGTGGAAAGTAAGTATTGTAACAAGAAGTCAGTTGTTTCACTTGGAATTCACCTTGCAGTCTCCCTGTTTCACTAATAGTTTACCTTGATACATTCCCATTTCACTGAGTTTGCCTTGTCACCTTCCCAGATTCCCACTACAGTTCACCTTGTCTAATATTACCTTTCTGCCCAAGATGCTTTGTTAGTTATCATGGACTGAAGTTCACTTAGACTTGCTGTTACTTCTCTTGGAGCCAAGAAGGTGCTTTGTAAATAGTTTCTTGACTCTAGCCTATCTGGACTTGCTGACATGCATAGTCAAGGTCACTTCATCAAATTCTTCTTCATTCTAAAGTGCCTGTAGGATCATCTTCTGCTATGATGACTAGCACTGCAACTTTTCTGGGATGAAGTAGGAGCCTGAGAGGATCTATAGGCTGCTGTCTCTCAGTTTATAACAATTTTCTTTCTTGAGGCTGCAGAAGTTCTGTGCTATCTAGACCTTTGGCCCAAGCAGAGCAGTTCAAACACCCTGGAGCATGCAGTTCAAAGACCCCATGACTATTTCTTGTAATATTGAGTTTTAAAATTTCACCCACTGTTCTTCTGGGCAGCCCCCTGACAGAGTTCAGGACATGAAATGGTGAGTTGGTCTGCTGATTCAGTGTCTGCACAGCTCCATCTTAGCAGCAGTCTCCTTTTAACAGAAGTGTCCCTACGCATCAGCAAATCAGTAGTGGACCAAGGCAAAACTATTAATTTTCAAATTAACTTTTGGTAGGAAGGCTCCTCTGTGTCTGGGGTTGACAAAACTGCACTGATTTGTATGCTTTTCAAAAGCGTGAGTTGTTGGTTGCTAGATTCAGTTGAGTGGATTATATACACTGAGAAAGTTCAAAATGAAATCAAGTTTTAATCTGACAAATGTGGAGAGAGTTAAATTTTGAATTTGCTGAAACGCTGTGAACTTTATATGAAAAAGAAAAAAACTAAGAGTTTGCCTGCTTAATAATCTCTTGGTCCAGCGGTTACTTGAGATTCTTCCTTGAGCTATAGAAGTTAAGGATCTGGCTCAATAATTCCTGCCTCCAGACGAGAAGATACCGCTCTATATTCTTCTCTTGTTTATACAGGAGAGGTTCTTTTTGAATGACATCAAATACACAAACAGTTTAAAAGTAAATTCCACTAACCCTGCTATATATGTACTAAGTTAGGGATCTCTTTTATGTTGTGCACGTGGAGTGTGAAATGATGCTACTGGTCTATACTAAAACTCATTTAATAATAAGTTCTTGATTAATTGAAAAAGATTTTGGCATACTGATTTTTCTGTTTGTTTGCCTTTTCCTCTAGCTTTCAGAGGCTTATCTGATTGGCAGCTATGAATTTCTGCTGCAGTTTTCTGTAAGCTGCATGCCATACCAGTATTCTGGCATTGCACACGAGCTTTTGATCTACTAGTCTTTCATGCAGAACACAAGTACAGTGTCAGTTCACAGGCCGTGATATTTTATTACGTGAGTGAATACGTAGCGGTGATATACAACTATAAAGGACCTGGTCTTCCAGGGAGGCAAAGGTTAAAACAGATTTTAGCACTCCAAACTCAGTGTGCTAGTTATTTCTAAATCTTAAGAAGTGATGGCATGTCTAGATCATGATGGGTAGCACTCTACAATCTTTTTGTTAGTGGTAATTTAAGTGAGATCTTGTTTTCCATGGAGGTCGTGCATCTGTCGTGTCCATTAGGACTGCACTATCCAAACTTCTAGAACGCTTGAGCAGGCAACCTCAGTGAGAACGATTGCGTGTTTGTGTATTGATTTTCTGCTGAAAGGAATGTCTCAGCCTCTGTGCGTTTTTAGATGTGTTTAAGAACTCGGTATATTTTTCCATCTATTCCTTTCATTAATGGAGACATTTTTCTCTGCAGATGAGATACGCTCCTACTTTGGTGAAACCATCGCTCTCTACTTTGGCTTCTTAGAGTATTTCACGTTTGCATTGATTCCGATGGCTGTCATTGGAATCCCTTACTATGTATTTGCATGGGAAGATTATGACAAATATGTCATGTTTGCCACATTCAACCTGCTGTGGTCCACTGTGATCCTGGAAGTTTGGAAGCGGATTTGCGCAGTGATGACGTACCGCTGGGGGACACTGTTGATGAAGAGGCAGTTTGAAGAACCAAGGCCAGGTTTCCACGGTGCTTTGGGTATCAATCCTGTCACTGGGAAGGAGGAACCGGTGTACTCCAGTATTAAGAGACAGTTACGCATTTATCTGGTGTCCGTACCGTTCGTGTGCCTTTGCCTCTACTTCTCGCTGTACGTGATGATGATTTACTTCGACTTGGAACAGTGGGCTCTGGATTATCATGAGGAGAATAAGTCCACCTTCAGCAGCTTGATGCTCTATGTGCCCAGTATCATATATGCTGTCGTGATTGAAGTTATGAACCGTATCTATAGGTATGCTGCTGAATTCTTAACATCGTGGGGTAAGAAAACTATTTATTATTCTTATTTGTACATTATGATTTAGAATCACAAATGTTTAGGACTTACTTTACTGTGAGGTAAAAGAGCTGGCCATTTTCACTTCTTTCTTTTATTCGGAGTGTGACGAGATAGCAGTTTCATGTTTGGTTTAATTTGGTCTGAGTCTAGCAGAAGGGACGATCGTGCCTTCTTCAACCTCTCTCTGATGCCAGTCTCCCTTCTCTGAATTAGTTCTTTCTTAGGCTACATTAGCCATATTGCTTGCCCAAGGGAGGAGGTGAGATCATCAGGGTAGGAGATTAGAGGTAGACAGCTGAGGAGACTGTCCTGGCATCTTTGCTCCATAGTTTGATGAATATATCTTTGTGTACTGATACATCATTGCAGAGGATAGAGGAACTGATAATAGAATAAAATCTAAAAACATAAACAAAACTGTCTTACAATAATGTTTGTGTATATTGTATGTATAATGAAAATTGAGATTTCACATCCTTATTGAAACATTTTCTTCTGGGCACTCTCAGGAGAGAGTGAACAGATTAGGAGTTCATCTGGTTGTCTCCCACCTCACTTATTTCAGCTAAGATCTGATGTTAGCAGCTGAACTGGCAGAGCATAGGAAAAAATCTGGGTATGGAGGCTGGCAACCAGAGAAGTTGCAGGGTCTGTGCATTGCCATTGCTGCTACTAAAGAAGTGGTGGTACAGTACAAATTGTTATTGCTGTAAATTATTGGAGGGACTAATCCTAATACACTACTACTAAAATGATTTCTAGGTGGAAAAAATGTTCCTGTTTTGTATAACAGTGTTTAGTACACTGTGTGTGCTTCTGCTGTTTACTAATGAGTAATTTTGTTGATTTTCTTTTTTTTAGAAAATCACAGGCTGGAGTCTTCATATCAGAATCATTTAATTCTGAAGGTTTTAGTGGTAAGTAGGTAGCGTGAGGAGTAAAAGGTTATTTAAAAAGGGAAGTTCAGTGTTTTATTTGTATTTTCCCAGCATTCCTGCTTTGACTTTCAGTTTTGTTCAGTGCCAAATAATTTGATTAAACAGGATTTCTGTTGTGGTTGCAGTGACTGCTAGGCTGTATAAATACCTTGTTTTATATTGCACAGCTTAGTTGTTGTTTTTGAGTTGATTGTTCTTTCATTAGGATTCTGGATATGTAATGTAGTTGTTACATTCTCTGGATATATATATATATTTTTCTCTTAGTTGTTGTGGTCCTGGCTTCAACTGGGAATGATTCCTTCTGGCTTTTGCAACATTTTATGGTAAACTGTGTTTTAAGAAGTTCACACATTAACTTGCATTTGTACTAAGTTCAACCAGCTGATCAGAGGAGACTGGATATACTTGTCCATTATTCTGCTTGCGTACAGCTCATAGCATATACTGATATATTTACCTCGGGTCTCTGAATAAGTTGCTTTTGCGTGCATACATATGTACTGTGAAGTGCATAGGAGGGGACTAGGTGCTTGTATTGGTTTTGAGAGACTGTACTGTAAATCTTGAGAAAAGTTCTCTGTGACTTATTTCTCATTTTAGTAGTAGGGAATATTATTCTCGGTCATAAAACCTTCTGAGCTGGTTAAACGTAAAGCTAACGTCAGGTGAGGAACAGTTACACAGATCTAAAGAGATGTCTTCCAACAAATAGATTTTGTCAACATTTTTATTTGAAAAAAGTCATCACCCTGAACTGAGATCAATGCCAAATTGTGGAAGATGAGTACAAGATGACAGCTGTTTTAAGTGTTCACATTTCGTAGTTCAAATGTATAACATGTTGTATATTGTGCTTTAGGAAGGCATTGAGGTAATTTAATGGAAATAGGAGTAGGATCAATAGGATCAGAATTATTTTTTTCTGATGTAGTTTTAAAGATGATAAAGACATTTAATTTAATGGACAGTTTGTATCCCTGTGAAATCAGAGTAACTGTTAGATGATAGTTGGCATTTTTTTCTCAAGCCATGAATTTCTACTTGCATAATAACAAATATTTTCATTTGCAGTTCAACTTCTTGAATTGTTTTGCATCTCTCTTCTACATTGCTTTTGTGCTGTTTGATATGAAACTTCTGAGACAGGTGAGTTACTCAAACACTAAAAACAGTGATGCAGCTAGGAAAATAAAGGATTGCTTGAAATAGCATTGATTTTTCAGTTGTTTTTCTAAATATGTACATGTGTGTATTGTTGTTGTCAAGTTTATATTTTCTTATGAATACAGCTCCATATTTCAATTCATCTCGCACAGTTGCAGAATGATAACAGAGTAATGTAGAGCGATCATTTTTCTCCTTGCAGATGAGAAAAAGAAATTGATTACTCCCTCACGCTGATGAGGCTGAGGAATGTTCATTTCCTCTTCCTTTATGCTAGAAAGTGTTTTTCTTTATAGTTCTTATTGAGAAGCTCCTGAGGATAGGAGTACTAAGTTGATTACTACAGTGAGAAATTGAAAATAAATAGAAACAACAATTTGTATTTTAAATCAGTTTTCTGTTGTTAATAATGCTTGAAATGAAATGCATGAAAATCGATTAAAAGTAATTATTCCTTTGACTGTAGAAACTTAATATGTATTTTTTTAAGTCCACTGTTTACCTCTGTTAGTGATAAAAGATGTATTGTTAAGTGTTCAGCTTTCATTGGACTTTCTGTACTGTCTCCAAGACATACGAGGACCCACTAAATAGTTAATTATCTGAAGACCTATTTAGTTCTTTTCAGCACATTGCAAAGAATGGGAACCAGAGCAGCTATCCTTCTCACTTGCTATTGCTAGTATGTTCTATAGTATATTCTATTATGCTGGCTGCTTTTGTTGTGGTGTAACAACTTGCAGTGTTAATAGAACACACAAAATTGGAAACGATCACAGACTTATTGCAAGTCTATTAATTGGTGTTTTTTTTGTTTTGTTTTTTTTTTTTTTTTAGAGCTTGGCCACTTTGCTGATAACTTCACAGATCCTCAATCAGTTTGCAGAATCCCTGCTTCCTTACTGGCTCCAGAAGAGACATGTGAAGAAGATGAAGAAACACACACGTTCTCTGAAAACAGATACGGACCTGTCATTAGTGGAACAAGTGAACTTGGAGAAAGAAATGGGCACCTATTTTGTATGTTGAATATGCTCATATGTTGTTAGAATATATATTTTGCTAGATTATATGCTGCTAAAAAGTGGTTTCAGGTGAATTGTTGTTAGCTGCAATGTAGTACATTAGAGTAGAAATAGCTGTTTTATTTCAGAAGGAATGCTGAATACATGATAAGTATAGTTTGACCTCTTGGCAACAGTCATAATGTTCTTTTTAGAAACAAAGAGCAGAGCAGAGTAAGGAATTGCTTGTTTCTCATTATAGAATGTGATAGCAATTGTTGCTTTTGAAACAGTAGATCATTTTTGTCAATTCACTGGGGGATAAGCTACACTTGTAGAGTCCTAGTGCCCAAATTATATCTTGCAAGGGAAGCCCTGGTGTCTAGATTTTATTCTTATGTGGTGGAACTTAGAATTCTTACTACTTACTGTATTGATCTCTCTGTTACATCGCCCAAACACAAAAAGGTGGGTTACTATGTCCAGAGCAAAGGCCCTTCATTATGCTTGGAGCAGTCATCTTTTTCCACTGTTGTCTTTTGAATTATTTTTAGCCCTAGTAGTAAGAGCTACAAGGGCTACAAAACAAACAAACAAAACCAACAAACAACCGAGCAGCGGAAATGTAACTGCATGTTTCTTCTACTGAAAGACCTGGGTACTCCTGTTTACTTAAGGAAGTCAATTTTTGCTTGTCATTCTCTCTGTCAGCTGTTTCTGCTTTTCTATTTCTCTATCTCTATCTAACACTCACTAGAGATTTCTTGTTCTTTGGAGCCTGTTTACACCTTCTGGCTTGGTCCCAGAAGTGTTCCCACTGGCACAACAGGTGCTGCAGTCCTGGAATAGCCCAACTGCTATACTTGCTATCTTCTACATTGCTCCTAATCCAGCAGTGTTTCTGGCCATCTCCTGTGCTGGACTTGGCAGTCATCGTTCACAAAGGCAACATAAAACTACTCTAAGGGTTAAATTGGTGAGCACAGTAGCCAGTGCAACCTAAGAAGCAGAAGAGATCAACTCTTTAGGCCAATACTACTGCTGAAAGCTTTTGCTTCTTGAAATTACAGCTTTGGCATTTGTGCTGTCTTCCTATCTCGGTTTCTGATGGCTCCGTAGTCAGTAAGCACATGACAAACAGCACGGAATCAGATCATCAGTTTTACCTGTGTTGTTTTTAGGATTTCCTTCTCACCAACCACAAAGTTTTAAGATGTATTTGTATCATCTTATTACGTTAAACTGGTAAGTTCTCTTGGAATAGGTCTTGCTTAGTATATTATTGTCCCCACCATACTTTACTTCTTGATTTGAATTTGGTTGATTTGTTTCACTGTATTTAACACATATGGTGGAATTCATTACTTGGTGTTCTAGAGGAGTTGACAAAATGCAGTAGTGTCTATGTTAAGGCCTTATAGAGTGCCTGACAGCTTGTTCCATCAAATGCTGCAAGCATAGACACAAGGGATTTAATTCTTTATGCCTTTACAGAGTAAGAATTAGGTGTAGGTCATGTACTTTTTATGTAAGAAGTAGAGAACATCAGAGTTAGAAATTTATTTTGAAATGTGAGAGTGCCATGAAGTGGGAAATGGAAATACTACCTTTGCAGCTGAATAACTGTACTAATGTTTCCCTGGGAGTGTTGGTATTTCTCACTTTATATATGGGGAGGTAGATTGACACAGAGCACACCTGTCTTACAGTGGAGAGCACGACAGAAAGCCTCAAGTTAGTGTCTGAACTGGTAAATCAGCATCGTCCAGCAAGGAGCCCGAAAACGTGCCAGCACAGATCCAAGGGCTATGAATTGGCAGCAGGTGTCGACTTGCCTGACCGAGTAAGCTGTGGCTCCTAGAGCTGAACTGACTTCTGGTTCTGAGCTGGCACATACAAAGCCAGTGTGGTGTCTGAATCCTGCTGGCCAGTGCCTCTTGCAGATCAGATGTATCTGCACCTGTTGTGTGGTCATACCTTGAATCATTTTCCAAGGGGAAACAATAGGTCAGTTGTGGGGTTATTACTTTGCCTTTGAGTTGCCCGCTTCATGCTTCAGTTTCAGTCTGGTGCACAGTGTATTCAACGGCTTAGATTTTAATTTCAATCTAAATATTTTGATTGTGCTGTATTTGTGTATATAGTATACATGGTATTAGACCACTTGTTTCTAAGTGTTGAGCTGTCAGCAGAAGAGTGTTACTAAAATTACATCTGTCACAAGGGGGAAGCATTTGACTATGTATAGTAACTGAGGAGTCCAGCAGGAGTGTTGACAGAATTCTGTGTTTCAGGATCTTTTCTTTCCTTTTCCTTTCTTCACTTACCCTTTAATATTCTAATTTCTCTTTGCCCTCCTTGCCCTCTCCCCTCACCCCCTTTTTGTGTCTCTCCAGTCCTTCAACTGATTTAAGGTATAAAAGCTTGTAGTCCTTATTTCACCTCTGTTTCTCTCCTAGTTCATTTTGAATCCTGGGTTGCTTTGTTGATTGTGTTTCCTTGATGCCATAGATTGTGCTGCTCCTGCGGCTAGGGCAACAGGAGGTTGATAACAGTGATAATAGCACAGTTAACATCCTGTCAGATGTTTCCTTCATAAAGTGTTGTAAATCAAATAGGAGAAAAGTAAATGCTCGTTTTATTTTCAGACTGCTGTGCTGGTAAGTCGGTAGGTACTGAGCAAGAAAATGAGAAGAAAGCAGTGGAAGTGCTGTGCAGTTACCAGGGGGAGAATTATAAAGTGACACACTGCTCCTTGCTTGAAACATGTAACTGATAGCAGGGACAAACGTGTGACTGCCACTCCAGTGAGTGATGCTGCACAAATGCCCCTAAGGAAGACCTTGCTAAAATTCAGAGTTCATACAGGAAATCTCTGTGGAAAAAAATCTCATTGAATCTAAACATTACACAGCTCCTCAAGGTCTCGCCTGCAGAGCAGGCCTGTTCGTATGTGAGATGTGAAAATGAGCTTGAATGAGGAATGTAGCTAATGAGTGGCCCATGTTGATTTCTGAGCTTGCTGGCTTCTGCTGCCTGTTTGCTAAAACAAGAGCACCAGGTGCTAGAGGTGGCAGTTGGTTTAATTGTCATCAGCCAAAAGGTTAGAAAGTTGTGTCTATGGTGCATGGAACCAGAACTAATGTTAGATTTCCTGTACTGATCTCAGTTACTGTCAAATCTTTATCGATAGTTTTGTTGGTTTATTTCATTTTGAAAGAGAAGAAAATGTGTGGGTCTGGATGAATACCAAATAGCTGTATCCTGGTTTAAGTAGTTTATGATATTTCATCACTCTTTGTTCAGAGAACACATTGAACAAAATCAACCCTTTTCTTTAGAAATTATTGGTTTATTCTTCGTTTTCATGAATAATTGCTGCAATCACAGAAAACTATTATTAATACAACAAAATTACTATGTAAATATGTATAAAGACCTACATGTGAATACTTAATCAGCATTTAAGTACCCAAATTATTGATTCAAAAATAAGGAGATAGATGCATTGCAGTTTTGCCAGAACAGGGCTTTTTGTTTGCATTAATTGTTCCTTTCAGAAGCCAGTGCTACATTTTGACATTTTAGCCTTCAAGTAGGCAATTAATTCTGACTTACTCATTTGAAATAGATGTGCAGAAATATTAGAAAAGGGTTGCCTGTTTGAAACCTATGTTTCTGGTTAGATCTTTCCTGGACAGTCTGAAGTACTGGGCCTATTAGTAAGAGCATTGTGAGGAGAATGTTCTGCCAGTTACATGAATGATGCTGTTTTCTTGTCCTACACTGCTCTTTCAGTAGCTGTTTCACTAGAATAGTCAGGAACTTAGAGTGAGTCTGTTTATACAATTACTTCATATACTTTATGTAATATGGATCAGTGAATGTTACAGAAAGTGCATTAGGCAAAAGGAAGAACCTTGGCCTCCCCATATTAAAAAGTTTTGATTGTAAAAATTACTAGAGAGGCTGTCTTTTTTCCTAATGCTGGTCATTGCCACACAGATAATTTGACATGAGGAAGCATGTTTATAGCTGTATTATTAATTCCACATCTTCATGTATTTTTTGTGAGTAAAAGTTGCTCTTTTTTTTTTTTTTTTCTTTCTTCCTCTGTTTTCCAGGGTACTTTTGATGATTACTTGGAGTTGTTTTTACAGTTTGGCTACGTCAGTCTTTTCTCGTGTGTTTATCCGCTGGCTGCTGTCTTTGCAGTGTTAAACAACATCACAGAGATATATTCTGATGCTTTAAAGATGTGTAGAGTCTACAAGCGTCCATTTGCAGAACCCACAGCAAATATTGGTGTTTGGCAGGTAAGCTTTGTTTCTTTTCTAGTCATTTATTATAAATGATATTTCAGCAGATTTAAGCTGTGTTTCATCATCAGCTGCTTTTAATTTTTAGTAGGCACTTTGTCATCTTCAGTGTCCTATGATATTATCCCACTGTAGTACATTTTGTTAGGTTTTCAACCATGTGTAATTTTCAGTTGCCTTTGAAAAGAAAGTAAATCCGTTCATTACTACTTGTATGTATGTATGTTGTGATTCTGTTGCAATAATGACAAAGCAAAGCTGCCAGTACAGTACTGCCTAGTAATTCATAGCAAAATTATTCTGAAATTGGTAACCTGTGGGCTATCTCAGGAGCGTGGAGCTCATCGCATGTAGTTTCAGAAAATTGAAGAATGATAGGTAAGTACTCAGAATCCTGAGTCATGCTTGGCTGTGTGCTCTCATGGGTACTGGTACTCAAGCTGACTAATTTTGAAATAGCTTAGATCTGTGTGAAGAGGCTGTACTTTTCTACAGAGGTGTAATCTACTTAAACAGTTTCACACTAGAAGTCGGTGAAGGATTTTCTGACCTCAGTTGTTTAATGATGTGCTTGTGCTGGCACCAGCTAGTTTGGGACCTCCTGAGTAGACTGTGTTGGTAAACTTATTCTGACCAATAAAAACTCTGCAGAACTCCTCCAAACTCAGAGGTGTTTCTGGTAGAAAGAATGGCCAGTTGTATCCAAAGATGTAAGTTTTCTGTAACAGCAATGTGAAGTAGGCTGGAGGAAAGGTCTAGGAGATGATCTGTATTCTAGTTTAAGTTTTCTGTTGATGCGTGGTGGAGACAGAGGACAGAATAGATTAGTAGTTTGTTTAATTTGAAGTTAGCAATCTATTTTACGTGGGAAGTTAGAGCATTGGCTGAAATATTTCTGTTGAAGAAATACTGGAATTATTTTATCATGGGAGCTGAGTCAACAGCTTACTGTCAAGGAGAAAGTTACTTCTGCTAATTGTGATAATTGCTACATTTCCATATCGGCTTTTCTCATTCAAGAGGAATGAGTAATCACTGCATTGCAAAAGCAGTTGTCATACTGTATTTTCAGGCGTTTTGTGGGAACTCTGTATACAAGAGCTCCTCAGACTCGCATGTTTACATGTAAACCTTTCTTTCAAGAAATCCAACAGCTGCATTCATCTTGAAAAATGGATTGCTATTTTAGAAAGGTTCTGAACCACTACATTTTCTGATCACTTAACGTAAGGACGAAACAAAGCCAGAGTGCTGGGACTGTTAGCTCCTCTAGTTTTGCCTTTTTTCTTTTATTTTGGAAGAAATGTGTGTTCAAGAGTAGAAGGATACACAGTCTTTTGTGTGTTCACATTGAGTCATGAAGATACCAAGGTTAAGATTGCTTTCCTGACCATGTTTTTTGTTTAATTTCTTTTTTTCCTTGAGGATTATTCTGAATTCTTTCAGGAAGTGATTGGATATTGCCTCCATCTAGGATGTTACTGGTCTTTAAATACACATACACACACAGATGCATTAAATTACAGAAAAATTCAGGGTTGCCAGGTGTGCTTTGTGGTATTACAAACCTTGTTGTGGTCGTGTTGTTGTTGCCCGTTTTTGTGGTTGACATAGTGTAGATGACTTGCCAAGCTACTCTACATTATGGAAGTCAAAAGATGGAGAGGAAAAAAAAAAAAAGTAATGACTCTTCTGAGGATTTCATGGAGAGGGAGGGAGAAATTTTGTAGAGCACTTTGGGAGTAAATCCGAGATAATGGTCATAACTGTGAATGTGTTTGTGTCTTATTTCAGTTGGCTTTTGAAACTATGAGTGTAATATCAGTAGTTACTAACTGCATACTGATTGGAATGTCTCCACAAGTGAATGCCCTTTTCCCAGACTCAAAAATGGATCTTGTTCTGACTGTGGCACTGGTAGAGGTAAGTCTGACTTCAAATAGAGTTCAGATATATGTTTTAATAGAAAACAACATGAAGAACAGTGGAAATTATATCAGTAAGTAGATAAAAATCTGCTTATTTTAAAAGGACTTAAGAGTTTTCCCTGCAAAGTGTTAAAACCTTGCTTTTTATTTTCTGTGTTTTCCTGTACTGTGAATGTTGTTGCTTCACTTCTGCAATACTTTCTTCATCGTTATGAATGTTTCCCGTAATGCATTATCTGAAACAAGTATGTAGAAGGACTAAGTACGAGTGATTGTAAGACCATCTGAGTTTTATGTTTTCCTAATTCTACGTAGTAAACACTTGAGTTTCTTTTCAGGCAAATGACTGGCCATTTTACATCTTAACAGATTGTAGATCATTGTCCTTATGTATCTTTCTATTATTCCAATTTAAAAATGATGTTATTCTAATTTCCAGGAATATAGGAGTTTTTTGTTTTTGTGTATAGTTGTTGAATTGCCTTGTAGAGGTATGGCCTCTATATTGCTTCTGTATTGTTGTTACAGATGTTGTGGGTTATGCAGTAAATTATGTGCTTGCTTAAAGTTTGCAGTTAACTCTAGGTCTTAATCACACGTCAACTGGTTTACTGAAGTTGGAGTCTACCTACAACCTGATGCATTTTTCTGTTATGCATGTGTGAACATTTGCATTAGCCTTAGTGAAATGTTTGAATGTAAAACTAATTTGACAATTTAAATGCAGCATTTAGATGGTATATCTGGAGAGGATATGTTACAAAATCTATGTGACTAAATGTAACCAGAGTGAAGTCTTAATGTCCATTTGGTCTCTGAGGAGGCCTCTGTCTCTTGATAGGCCATAGGAGAATACCAGCATTTTTTCTCTCTCAATTTGAATTCTGCCTATCGGTGATCCTGTACCGTTGTGCGATTCCTGTGCTTTAATTAGGTAGCTCTTGGAATTTCTTTTAAACAGTGCATCTCAAACACATTATCTATAAACCATATGGAAAGGAGAGTAAAACAAATAAAGGAATAAATGAAAGGAAGAGTTTGGAAAAATAAAAGAATCCTGAAAGGAGAAATGGCAAGAATGTTCTTTTATATGAAGAAACAATTTGGACAAGGCTGCTCATCTAGAGCAAACTACACTGTATGAAGGGACAAATGGAGGGCAATGCTAGGTGACCCAGAGAGGAAAGGCAGCTATTTGGTCATAGAGAAGTCAACTTTTCTCTTCACTTCCTTATTACTACTTCATAGTGCACTTGTTATAAAAGATATATTTTTAAAAAATGGCTTAATCATAAGTGCCCAGTGTGCTTAATACTTCAAAGTGTGCTGGTTTAATTTCTTCTGCCGTTTCTGTGTTGTTATAAACTACTCATTGTCTGAGAAATTCCAGACAAAAGAAATCTGCAGCCTAACAAGCCATGTGACTTTTTAAATTTTGTTGGTTATAAACAATTCCCAAACTGTTGCATTTGAAATTTAATACTTTTGCAGTCTTTGAGGGACAGAACTGCAGTGTTCTTGAATCAGAATTCCACACCTTCACAGCTTTGTTTTCTGAAGTCAGAGTAGCGCGGGTCATTCAGTTCTGCAAGAAGTTCTGTAACACCAGATACAGAGTGTTTGGAAGAGTTCTCCAAAGTGAAAGACATTCTAAATATCTATTTCTATATGTAAAATTACAACAGTGAATCCAACAAGAATAATTTTTCCTTCTGTTGAAGGCAGCTTCCATTGTGTAGACAGATGTGTTCTCAGTTACAATAATAATTTTTAACAGTATTTGCATTGAAGGTATTTCAAGTTAGAACACTGAGCTCAAAAGATGAAGGAAGGGAGAATGACTGGATGCTGTGGGACTGCAGTCAGTTTCATCAGCAGCATGATTTTTGGTAGCTTAAGGAGATGGGTGTATTTTTGCCTTATCTTCCTGGGAATCTATTTTATCTGTTACACTGGCATTTTCTTTTATCTGGTGCATGATGAATCAAATCAGTGAACTGATTTGACAGAAGCTGTCTGATCTGGTTCACTGGTGAAAGGGAGAAGGGCAGAAACAGTTGTGTATGGAAGGTAGTGTTGCTCTTTATAGCAGTGGTGTACGTTTCTGCTGGATTAAATTTGTGGAATTCAGCACCACAGATTCTCTCCTGTAAATCTTGCTTCATCTAGAGGAAGATACCTAACCTAGGAAAGCAACACAAATCTGATGTTATTGACACTATTCCCACACACCTTTGCTGTATTTATTAATGATTGCTGTGCATATTACTTGTGAAAACAATGTAGAAACAGAATACATTACACAAAGCCTCTAATACAAACCTGGTGCTTTTTAAGCACATCAGTGTCAGGGTAGGAAAAAATTCTGTTGCATGTGCCAGGTTGTCAACAGAAGAGCTTTTTAGATCGCTTAGTAGAGATTTTGTGCAGAAGAACGATAGTTACTTTACTTTCTGGTGTGTGCTGCAGATGGAGGTGAGAATTCTACGGTGTATTTGTGCTCTGTTGACAACGGTTTGGCAGGCAGTGTGAAAATGTTAAGGAATACAAGAAACTTACTTTTGTAGGTTATGTATCCTTTCACGTGTTCAGTGGATGGGATAACCTACTTAAATCTTAGCTGTCGTTAAATGTTTTTATCGGGTTTAAGTCATTGAGACTCCAGTTGAAAATTTATACCTGGTTTGATGCAAAGCTAAACAGAGAAAGTGTTGTTCTACCAAGCAAAGCATAGATGGGAACAGTGACCTGTATTTTATTTTATTATTTTATTATTCCTAAAAGTGTTAGTGTTTTCTAACAATGGTACTGATATTATTTCAAATGAAAATGTGTTTACGTGGCAAGATTTGACATCATTTAGCACAGATGTGAAGAGGAATGTTTGATACTCTCTTAAGCATTCTATATCAAGCTCCTACAGGTTTGTGCAAAATAATTTTTTATTAACGATGCTAAATCTACTGCTACCTACGTTTTATGGGCATACATATATCATCAACACAAGTGCTAATTAAATACAATAAATCAATATGCAGTTGATAATAAATAATACTAAGCATCAAAATAATAGCATTTAATAATATTGAAGTATTAGAACAGTGATTTTCCTTTTTAAACAGTTGACCTATTTTCATCAATCCAACATCTGCTTCCATGGCAACATAGTTTGAACCTGGAGCAGAATCATGAAACTCCCCTCTTTTACTTATGGATGCGTGCTAAGTGAGTGAAGCAAGTGCAGTTTTCAAACAAAGAAGTAGATACATGTTCTTAAAGTTGGAAACAGTAGGCCCTTATTATCATTCTTCTAGAAGAGTTAAGTCACATAATTGGGTTAGTTCTTCAGGCTCTACCATAGGTACATATTTTCTTTGTAAACCACCTGTGCAAAGTAAGAAGCAAGGTTAAAAACAAGGTATAACATCAATTCAGCAGCACTTTTGGTTTTTTTCTTTGAAAATGAATGTCATGGAGCTTTCTTCTTGATAACTACTTAAAATTTATGAGTCTAAAATAGAAAGAAGAATGCTAATGAAACTGCTTTCAGGTCTGCTGTGAAAGCTGAGTTCCAGAAATCAGTTACATGTCCAACACTTAGTGATACAGTGGTTGTTTTTTGGTTTTGTTTTAAATGATCCACCAATAGGAGTGTTTGGAAACAGTGTCTGTAAAATATTTATACCAATTTATCCTCAACTCCCATAGTCACCCATTTTGTATCCAGCACTCAAATGGTAAACTTTTATATGGAAGTGAATGCAGTTGGGATGTTCCACATCACACACGAGTTTGGATCACACAGAGGCATTTGTGGATGAGTTTGGAAATGCTTAAGAGTAACAGAGGGCTATTTTGATAGCTGTAATATAAAATCTGACCTTATAGTTTACAAATACGATTTTAGGAAGAATATAATTACTTCTGGTATAGATAAAAATGAGTACCGTAGTGTAAGGATAGGGCTAGGGCATTTGTAGCAAACATGGCTTAATAAACGTTTGGGCCATAGGGATTTGATTTTGTAGAGTCTCCTTCTGTGGAGATATTCAAGACCTGTCTGGATGCCTACCTGTATGGCTTACTGCAGGGTACCTGCCTTTGCAGGGAGTTGGACTCGATGGCCTCTTTAGCTCCCTTCCAACCCCTGTGATTCTGTGAAAGCTGATTTTTAAAAAGTTATTTGTTTATTTATTGTTTTTAAGAAAACGCACTGCATGACATATTTTTTTAGAAATAAATTATGTGAATAGCATTATGGCAGGTTGTGACATGGTTCTGTGTTGGAGCCTTCCAGACATGTGAAGCAAATAGCTTCTTTTTGTGGGGGCTTCAGGAGGTTGGAATTCAGCAGCTGTGTAAAATGGCCAACTTCATATAGTAAAGAAATAGGAAGAGAAGTGGAGAGAAATGTGCCGCACTGGTGTGTGTACAGATCTGTTATCTGTTGACATGAGTGGAATTCTAACAGTGCAACGGTCAAGAAAAACAGCTGTGCTTTTTTTTTTCTAAATCATTTCTATGTTTGTGACAGATTCTAGTTTAAAATATGGGAGCTGTAGTGTCACAGAGGGAATCACGTAGTGATCTGTATTGGAAGGTACTTCTGAGGGTTGTTTGGCGCAAGGTTCTGATGAAAGCAGGAACCTAGATAAGGTAACTAAGCTAAAACTTGAATATTTCCTGTGAGGGAAAGTCCGTACTTATCTGGAAACCTCTTCCAATATTTGATTGTTCTTATGGAAAATGTTTTTTTCTTATAACAAAACAAAAACCCTCTGAAGCAGCTTGTGGCCCATGGCTTCTTGTGTTTTTACTGCACACCCCTGTGAAGAGAGCAGCTCCACCTTCTCTAAAACTACCTGATAGGTGTAGGGGAAGACTGTAGTTAGATCCTCCCTCCCACCCAAAGCCTGCTCTTTTCTAAGTTTAGCAAAGCCAGTTCCTTCATCCTTCATGCGTTGGGTTCTTCAGCCCTGTAAGCTTGGTGGCCCT